CCGCTTATAACAAAACAATAACACATGGTGCTTGTGTACGCATAGGACAGAAAATTTGGGTGTAACCACGTCCAGAAAGTGGGCATAGCCAAAATCGCAGCGCGCTTGGTGCGCCCTCCAGCACCCTCCCTTCCTTTCCCAATTTCTGAATACGCCCCTGCCATTGCCAATCTTTGAGCAAGAGTGAGTGCCAGCACTCATTTTAAGTTTCATTTAGTTGAACCTTAAGTCTATTGTACACAGGGCAACATTTTTGCTTGAAACTTTGTCGTTACATTGATGTTTGTTGCCTCAAGTTGAGCAGTGGTCAACTTGAAACAACAAGATCAAAGTAACCACAAAGTTTCAAGCAACAATGTTGCCCCGTGTATGATAGCCTCTAAACACTGAAATTATTATTTGCATAACATGCATTTATATAGACAATATATCAATGAATAATTCATGAGTTCTGATGTAATGATGAGTTGCATCACTACACAGCACATAATCTGTAGCTTGCATAGGTTCGTCCCTTGAATACTTTACATTCTTCTAGTTACTCAGTTTATGAGGGAGCCATAGAGGGATTATCAATAAAGGGCATGTGTCAGGTACTGATGTAGTGAATGTATTTGCTACAAAACAGTTTTGAGACTTAAATCCAGATGAAATAGCAGCATATTTTAGCAGCTTACAAGAAACTGGTTATAGAGAATCTCATCCACCAGCTAATTTATAGTACTGTTTTTTCTCAGTGAAGTCACTCTTGTCTTTGATGTTGACTTTCTTCTTGTTATGGTACTCTTTTATGGCATTACCTACCGAACAATGGAACATTTCATTTGTTTCATACGTTACTTTGCTGTTCAATTGGCAAATATTTGATTTAATCAATAATTTGCTTTCAGACAATTTCAATGTGTATGTCATTTGCAAGCGTTGTAGCAGTTCGAAATAATTTCAATGCAAATGGATTTTTAAGTAAAATAAACAATAGTGGTCTAATGGTGCACTGTGACTCGTTCAAACCGCTTAAACTAACTCAATACAGTGTGGGCATTATTTTCTTCTTTAAATTAAATTTACCACGAAATATTTGTCAAAAGAAACCTTAAAATAGCACTAATAAACCCAGGATGTACTGAGCTCACTTAAAGAGGCCTAATTAACTTTAAAAATTCACCTTTGGTGAATGATTTACTTGATTTGTGGCATGATGGATTTACAGTTGCAGTTAAGGCCTCTCCCATATGATTCTTGTTTCCCATTACCCGTCCGCATACTCCCGCATCATGCATTCATTATTCCACCCATCCATTAGTTATACAGCACGTGCTCACGAGAAGACATGTTCAAGGCACTCGGGCCAGTGTGACCGTGTATATGTTGCCTTGCCTGTCGCCTTGATGCCTCTCTTTGGTCCAGATAGAGATACTGTATCAATATATGGTGTCTAGGAGGTGAGTTAGTTTTAGTTCCATCGTAATATTGATGCTTGTACAGCTTGCATGGGGCCACAGTCAGGATGTGGCTACCACCATAAATTCATACTGTATAAAAAAGTTTTAGTGTAAGATTATGGCACTGCAATGGGTATGTGTAAATGTGCTGCATACTTGGTAATTTTAGAAGTGGAAACAAACTTTTTTCATAGTAGTGATGATTGGTTTTGCAAATTTGGTACATATATATATAAATATATGCTATAGTTACTGTAAGATCAAAGGTACCGCCGGGTAGTATATTACGCATATACACCCCTACCTCTAATATATACACTTCAGCCCTCGATATACACCTGCATGGTTTTAATGAGTGCCACGTGGTGAAGAAATGGCCTCTGCTCTTTCTCTTTGCTGCCCGACTTCAGGCCTCATCTTTCTGTTCTTAGCGGCCAGTTTCTTGCCAGTGCAAAGGACACTCTAATCACTAGAGCAGACCTCTTTTAGTCAGATTTACTCCATTGGTTGTCACTACCAATCATAAAATGCGCAATGGGGGTGCCATGCGATTTGATCTTACAGTAAGTATACAATATATTATATGTACCATACCTTCGAGGTCTATATCAGAAATATGAGACCTGAGTCCAGAGATATTTTCCCGAGGCGAAGCCGAGGGAAGATATCTCAGGACTCGGATCTCATATTACTGATACAGACCTCGAAGGTATGGTATATATATTACATATATATACATAAAGTATGCTAGTTACATAGATCAAAGTAGCTGCGAGGTCTGCTATCATGATAGCAGACCTGAGTACAGGTCTGCTATCTCGATAGCAGACATGGCAGGCAGCCAAGTGTCTTCATGTTCTACTGCGCATGATCAGTAAGCTTCAATATGGCTACTTGAGTATATTCTTTTCCAGATGGCTATCTTTGACCAAGTACACTTTATATTATATATAGAATGGGTGGCAGTGCTGTATGGCAGATAGCAGCCTAAGGCAAAGCTGAGGGCTGCTATCCAACCAGTCAACCTCGGCCTCAGGTATGCTATCTGCCATAGAGTACTGCCACCTATGCTACTATGCTGGGCCATCATAACACCAAAATTGCACTGAGTCGGTGAGTTTGTTCATTTTATCATAATCACCTGCATGTATGAATTCTCTGTATAATGCAACAAGCATATTTTGCTAGTTAATTTCCCTGTAACATTACTGGTACTTACTCCTGTGTTACGTTCTACTTTTTATAATGTGTTATTATTTAAGCTATTTATGGTAAAGTCAGTACATGTAATTCTTGCCTCAAAATTATTAATTGTATTTCCATGTACTGTATGTGTATGAATCAGGCCTTACATGCATACTATTAGTTTTCTTAAACCATTGCAATACTTTCTCCAATTTTTTGTAATTCACAAATGTATTAAGTGAATATCTAAAGTCATTAATTTATCATAAGATTTGATGGCTACTAGCCTATTACAAATAAATATGCTAATAAATCTTTATATTCTGTAGTCTTGACTCCTGCTTGTTCTCTTGTATCAGCTGGTCCTGATGTTACAGCCTGGATAGACTGTGTTCTTTTGTTGGTCCTGCTATTGTTCACTCGTGTGCCCTTATTATTCTCTCGTGAGTCCTTCTCACTGTATTATTCATTGGTGGGCCCTTCTTACAATTGTTCACTAGTTGGCCCTTCTCACTATTAATCTCTTGTGGGCCCTTCTATTATTATTCTCTTTTGTGTCCTTCTCACTATATTGTTCACTCGTGGGTCCTTCTCACTGTTATTCGCTCTTGGGCCCTTCTCACTATATTTTTTACTTGTGGGCCCTTTTTGCTATTATTCTCTCTTGGACCCTTGTCACTATATTGTTCACTCGTGGGCCATTGACACTATTATTCTCTTGTGTGCCCTTCTCTTATTATTCTCTCTTGGGTCCTTCTCAATATATTGTTCACTTTTAGGTCCTTCTCACTGTTCTTTCGTGGGCCCTTCTCACTATTATTCTCTTGTGGGCCCTTCTCTTATTATTCTCTCTTGGGTCCTTCTCACTATATTGTTCACTCATGGGTCCTTCTCACTGTTATTCTCTCGCGGGCCCTTCTCAACATTATTCTTTCGTGGGTCCTTCTCACTGTTATTTTCTTGCGGGTCCTGCTTTATGTTGTTCACTTGTGGGTCCTTCTCACTATTGTTTTTTTGTGGATCCTGTTATTAGTCTCTCGTGGGTACTGCTCAGTATATTAGTTCTCTGGATCATAGCTGCTATTTTTTTCTCACCTCAATTAAAGCACAGTCAGCATTATTTAATAAATTTAATGTATCCCCTCTCATGATCCTCTTTTGTCATTGTTTTTGTCTGACAAACCATTACAATTTATGTACTTTTTAGTTTTACTTGATCCTGACTTTATATGCAAGTGTTTATTTTTTGTCTTGTTTCTGTAACACTATTGGTTTGTTACTAAATTTATTTTGTGTTTACATTATACCACTTTCCTAGGTGCACATATCTGATTACTGGTCAGGAAGGGCCTTGATAAGACTAGTGAATGTATCCGTTCTTTTTGATAGCAAGATATTGTTGCCGTGGTCTATTATTCGATTGAATGATGAAGCAATTACGATTGAAGAATTTTACAGAGATTGTGTTGAACCTCGATTAGAGGGTAATCATTTTTAAGTATCTTCAGCTTATGTAGGACAGGACAGAAATTCACTAGATCTTGTGGA